CATATACAGATGTATTTGTATTTTTTTTTAGGTTTTACATATAAGTGATATCATATGATATTTTCTTCATCTGGTTTACTTAGCTAAGTATGATATACTTCATTAAGTAACATTGTTGCTGCAAATGGCAATACTTTGTTGTTTCATGGCTGAGTAATATTCCATCATGGGTGCGTGCATGCGCACGCGCACGCATGTGTGTGTGTGTGTGTGTGTGTGTATCATGTTTTCTTAAGCCAATTGTCTCTTAATGAGCTCTTTGGATGTTTCTATGTTTTGGCTACTATAAATAGTACTGCTGTAAACGTTGGGGTACATGTATCTTTTTGAAGTATATTTTTTATCTAGATATATGCCCAGGAGTGGGATTTCTGGATCATATGGCAATTCTATTTTTACCTTTTTAAGGAACATGGTGGCTGTGCCAATTTACATTCCCACCAACAGTATATAGGAAGATTCCTTTTTCTCTGTGTACTTTCCAACATTTATTATTTATAGATTTGTTGATGACAGTCCCTCTGACTGGCATGAGGTGATACCTCATTGTGGTTTTGATCTGCATTTCTCTAATAATTAGTGATATTGAACATCTTTTCATGTGCCTATTGGTCATCTGTATGGCTTCTTTGGAAAAATGTTTATTTAGGTCTTTTATCAAATCTCAATTGGATGGTTTGATTTTTCAATATTGTGCTATATGAATTGCTTGTATTATATATTTTGGATGTTAACTCATTGTCAGTTGCATCATCTGCAAATATTTTCTCCCATTCTGTGGGTTGTCTTTTTCTTTTGTTAATGGCTTTCTTTTCTGTGCAAAAGCTTTTTAAGTTTGATTAGGTTCCATTTGCTTATTTTTGCTTTTATTATTAATATTTTTTTTGCCTTGGGAAAGTGGAAGAAATATTGCTTCAATTTGTGTCAGAATAGTTTGCCTATGTTCTCTTTTAGGAGTTTTACTGTGTTATGTCTTATATTTATAACTCTTTAAGCCATTTTGGGTTTAGTTTTGTGCATGGTATGAGGAAGTATTCTAACTTCATTGATTTACATGTGGCTTTCCTGCTTTCCCAACATGACTTGCTGAAGAGACTCTCTTTTCTCTATTGTATATTCTCACCTTGATGTATGGGTTTATTTCTGGACTCTCTGTTCTATTCCACTGAGCCATATGTCTGGTTTTGTACCAATACCATGCTTTTTGGATTACTGTAGCTTTGTAGTATTGTCTGAAGTCTGGAAGGTTTATGCCTCCAGCTTTGTTCTTTTCTCTCAGGATTATTTTGGCAATTCTAGGTCTTTTGTGGTTCCATATAAATTTTAGGATTACATGTTCTAATTATGTGAAAACTGTTATGAGTATTTTGATAGAGATTGCATTAAATCTGTAGATTGTTTTGGATAGTATGCCCATGTTAACAAAATTAATTCTTGCAATCCAAGAGCATGGGATATCTTTCCATTTCTTTGAATCATCTTCAATTTCTTTCATCAGTTATTTTTTTTATTTTACAGTTTTCAGCATATAGGTCTTTCACCTCCTTGGTTAAACTTATTGCTAAGTATTTCATTGTTTTTTGACATGATTTTAAATGGATTATTATCTTTCTGATACTTCATTGTTAGTATAAAAAAAGGTAACAGATTTCTGTATATTAATCTTATAGCATTCTACATTGCTAAGTTCATTTATTAGTCATAGTTTTTGTGTGGAGCTTTTAGGGTTCTCCATATTTGGTTTCATGTCAACTTGGATAGTGACAGTTCTATCTCTTCCAATTTACATAACTTTTATTTCTTTTCCTTATCTGACTGTTGTGACTATGACTTCCCATATTATGTTGAATAGAAACAGTAAGTGTAGGCATCCTTGTTTTGTTCCTGAATTTAGCAGGAAGCCTTTCAGCTTTTCATTGCTGAGTATTGTACTGGCTTCTGGTTTGTTGTAAATGGCTTTTATTATGTTAAGATATGGTCCCACTTTGGTGAGAATTTTTTTTCTAATCATGAATGGATGTTTTCTTTTTTTTTTTTCCTGCTGCTGCTAAGTTGCTTCAGTCCTGTCCGACTCTTTGCAACCCCATGGACTGTAGCCCAGCAGGCTTCTCTGTCCATGGGATTCTCCAGGCAAGAATACTGGAGTGGGTTGCCATTGCCTTCTCCAGGGTATCTTCCTGACGCAGGGATTGAACCCACATCTCTTGCGTTTCAGGTGGATTCTTTACCGCTGAGCTAACAGGGAAGCCCACCCCACCCCCTTTTTTCTGCATCTTTATCCTTTTAATACATTGTTGGACTTGGTCTGCTAATATTTTGTTGAGGATTTTTGCATCTATGTTCACAAAAAATATTGGCCTGTAACTTTCTTCTTTTGTGTCACGTCTTTGTCTGATTTTGGTATTGGGGTTACCTATTGACTTTTTATTTTATATTTTTGCATATAAAATTTACATATTTGTATATTGAAATATTTACTTCTTAGTAGTTTGAAGTATTTGTCTTAGTAAAAAAATCTCCTTCTTATATTTTAAACATGTAAGTTCCTGCATTTTCTGCTAAGGGTTTATTCTTTCATTTAAAATAAGTAAATTTAAGTGTATAATCCAGTTGTAATTTATTTTGTAAAGAATGTGTGAAAGAGATGTAATTTCATTTTCTTCCTGAGATATAGCTGTTGTCCAGTTAGCCTCTTTAAAATAAATCACTGTTCCTCATTGAATTTAAATATCCACTTGTCCCATGTTATTGTATTTTCTTGGATCTATTCTTGGATTTTCTCTTTGGTTCAAATAATTTGTTTGTCCATTCCTATGCACTATTATATTGATATATTACAGTGAACATTTAGTATATTGTGATATCTGTTAAGGCAAATTTCCTAAACAACTTTTACTCTTGTTCTTTTGCTTCATGATTTTTTGGCTGTTCTCATGCATTTATTACTAAATATACATGTGGCGCTAGTGGTAAAGAATCCAGCTCCCAATGCAGGAGACACAAGTGATGAGGGTTCAATCCCTGGGTCAGGAAGATCCCCTGGAGTAGGAAATGGCAACCCACTCCAGTATTCTTGCCTGGAAAATTCCATGGACAGAGGAGCCTGGTGAGCTACAGTCCATGGGGTTGCCAAGAATCGGAAACAATTGAGCACGTGCACACACACATACGTTTTTAGATAATTTTATACAATATCAATTCAGATTTTTAATGTTCTTTTACTCTGGTGAATTTTCCACAATGAGCATGAACTTGTCATTTATGACTAGCAATGATGTTGTTGTTCAGTAGCTAAGTCATGTCCGACTTGCATCTCTGACTCTTTCATGACCCCATGGACTGATACATGATATAAAAGAAGAAAGAAAAACAAGGGGGAGAATAGTGATGAGGTTCCTGGCACCTGCTCTGGGCTATATGAAAGCAAGATTAGATAATCGCGTTGTCCAGTACAAGCTTTGGAGTTGATGAGGAGGTACAAAGAATAAACACTCCTTGCTTCTGCACAGAGATGTGTACCCTAAGTGGCAAATCATAACAGACTCTTATTCTGTGGAGCATTTTTGCAATGTGAAAGGAGAAATGAAAGTTATGCTTTTTCATTTCATATAAGAATTCCATGAGTTGTGCTTTGATATTGCAGCTTGTCTAGACAGTGAAGGATTTTGGTTCCTAAGTTCCTTTTTGAGGAATATCTTTCTTGATGCATAGAGTGTTTTTTGCTCAAATAGATGTGGGAAAGGCAACTTATTTTGGTAAAGCCCTGAAGAAGATGAACATGTAGCTTTTGTTTAACTCAGCATTTCTCAAATTTAACTTTACATAGAATCTTTCTTTTCTGAGATATACTTTGATATTATAACAGAACTCACAGAAGATACTTTGGGAGATGTTGGTCCTAGGAGAAGTAGAATGGAGATTGTCAGGTTGAATGAGCTCAGTAGGCAGCGAATAAAGTGGGGGATATCACTAGAGTAAAAATATGTTTATTTCAAATTACTTACATCCAAAGTAGAAATTAAAAAAAAAAAAATCTCAGAAACACGAAGTCTATCTTGCTAGAGTCTTATGTTTGGCCATAGATTATGCCTTGATTCTCCTTCTGATTCGAAGGAGAAAACTTTTAAGTGGCATAGTTAAAATTCTGAGTGCCCTGTCTAATACTGTCCCAATTAAGTCACCATTCATTTTTATTTCTGTCTGGTATATTTTTCTCCTTTGAGGCTTACAGTTGGTGTTTGGATCATCTAAAAACAAATCTCTCCCATGCTTTTCCCTCTTGTCAACTCTTATTCTTCTCTGGAAAGATGCTCAACATTATCTGAAAGAGAAAATGCATCATGTGTCTCATTGCCTTCTCCCAAGGCAATTACTAGTTAGCCATCTCTGCCTTCAGCAGAGGTAGGAATACTCATGGAAGTAGAAAAACTGTAAGTACTTGACTTCACCTTATGTAACATTAACGCTTCTTTGAATACATCTAATTATTATTCTGAGGAAATTGAAACACCCAACTATTTTGTACAAGTATATAAAATGTAAATAGATTATGTTTACAAATGCCATATGATACACATTCACATAGACTGATTACTTACAATTTATTTTGTCTTAAATTCCTGGGAGCTAAGACAGGGCAGGTTTATGTATAACAGCTGTGAGGTACAGAGGATTGCTGGATATGGAGGTTGGAAATTGGTATACACCTGGTTTTCTGCTCAGAGAGCTGTACCACTGAATCTCAAAGGTCTTTTCCACCTCCAATGTTTTTATCCTTTAAGGTAAGAAAGAATAATTTCTCAAGTAGAGGCAACAGCTCACCCACATAAAAAAGAAAAAATGAGGCATGGCTGAATTCAGATTGTAACCCTGGCATTCTATTCCCAGTCTTCAATCGTTTCTTCATAGCGGTTCTTTTCATTTAGTTTCTGCCCTCAGCCTTGTGCTTTGGAGACTGGATGAAGCAGAAAGTGTTATTGTTTTGGTGGTTTTGATTTCAGATGAATACCAGTCAGCTGGTGACCTGAGGCTTCTGCAGCATCGGAAAAGATGGCACTACCCATGTTTCTTGAGACCTGACCAGCTTCTGCTCGAGCAGATGGTAAGCAAAAGCAGCACCTTGAAGAGTTGAAGAAAACCAACCAGAAAATGGTCATGGAAGGGTTTCCAAACGTGAGGGGGTCATCCTCTCCACCTCTGTGTCAGTGTGTGATGCAATCTTCTCTCTCCTGCTCTTCATTGCTAGGACACTCTCTACTTCACTCTTTGTAGAACAGATTTCTTTTTGTTCCTTCAAGTCTTAGCTGCCTCAGTCCAGTTTTCCTTGGTGACCCTCCTAGGTCAGTCTACTTTATTATTCTCCACTATGTTACGCTTCCAAGCCATTTACAGCACGCATCACAATATGCAATTCCTATGTATTTTTGTTTGCTTCCTTATTATTATCTTGCTTATAGAATGCAAAATCCATGAAGGTTGAGGCCATGTCTGTTTATTTTCCCGTGTAATCAGTATGACTTATGAATAAACGTGTTTCATGAAGAAATAACTCTAAAATCTATTTTCAGCAAATTCCCTGGTGGCCCACTGGTTAGAACGCCATACTTTCACTGTCAAGAGAACAGGTTCAGTCCCTGGTTGGGGGACTAAGATCCCACAAACCATGTGGCACAGCAAAAAGGAAAATCCATTTTCATAGCATTTAAAAATTAATAGCAGTATAGTTATCTGGTAGAATGCTTAACAGACATTAAACAAATGGTAGTATAAAATGAAAAATTATTAAAAAATTAAGACTCATATGAAGTAAGATGAAAATATGCAAACCTCTGAAAATTCTAAGAACTATAAACATTGGTATTTAAAATTACATTAAAAACCATGAGAACAAAAAAAGGAATAAACTTCCCGTACAGAAGGCTGAGGGAAGCTGTCAATAGTGTAATGCTAATGTATGATAAAGAAAGTACAATTTAAGTTTTTTTCCTCTTGCCTTCTCTATTTTGGATATGCTCTTCTAGACAAAATATGCTGTGGTAGAAACAGAACAGACATCCAAGTTTAGTATACAGACTATCAGAGCATATCAAGCTGCTGGCTGTATAACTATTAAGCTCTCTTGACTATATAATGTCATACATATAATACAGACTTTATAAATATATAACATATTTTATTCCTGGGGGCAAGAAGATTTAGAAAGGAAGCTAGAAAGCTTCCACTTTGAGGAAGATGGTGAAAGGACTTTTCCCTGTTCCTCACACTGCGTATAACTAAACATGTTGGAGATTACGTAGGCCAGTGCCAGTGTCGAGTTGCTTAGTCCTGTCCGACTCTATGTGATGCTGTGGACCATTGCCTGCCAGGCTCCTCTGTCCACAAGATTCTCCAGGCAAGAATACTGGAGTGGGTTGCCATGCCCTCCTCCAGGGGAATCTTCTCGACACAGGGATTGAACCCACATCTCTTATGTCTCCTGCATTGGCAGGTGGGTTCTTTACCACTAGCGCCACCTGGGAAGCCCAGGTTATGCATAAAACAAACCTAAGAAGACTCTGATAGGTTGGAAAGAAGAAGGCAGAATGGCTAGGACCTCAACCTGAGGAAGAACACGTGTTAGTCCCTTTTACCTCGTACATCCCAGACTGGAAGTAACTAAAGACTGCTCTCCCTAGCCAAAGATCCAGGAAAGAAGCATTACTATAAGACAAAACATTTTTGGACAACAATCACTTTTCTCCAGCCAAACACTACAGAGAGCACTCTATCGTCATCAAATTCAACAGTGGCCAAATCAGAAGCCTAGATTTTCACTCTCACCAGGCTGAAACAAGGCACCCCAACCCCTTACCACTGGTGATGTGGAGTAACAAACTGAGACTCTGTCTCTGCAGAGGGTAATGTTCCCCTCCACTCGTTCCACATTGTCACCTGAGACCATATGGAAAGTCTGGACATTTCCCCCCACCTACCCACCCAGCAATAAATCATGAGGAATCCCACTTACTCCTGCTGGGATGGTATCAGATGAGTCCTAGTGGAGAGTCAGGACTTTTACCACCATCCAGCAATTGCAAAATCAGCCCCTTGTGGTGTCCGTGGAAGCTGGGGAGCTCCTTTTCTCTGTCCCTGCTGGTATTTCTGGGTTGCTCTAATTTCAGCTCTAAGTTTGGATTACATGAGGTAAAAAGAAAAACTCAGGGAAAAGATCACTATACTGTTCCTCTTGTTCTGAGATCCTCAGCCAATTTGCCTTCTCTTCAGGTCTCAGAGTGTTCTTATGATAATTTTTGTTTATCATGTCCAAGTTTTAAACTGTACTTAGTGGGAGGAATAGGGAAAACAATTAACTTTATCTTCTTAGAGATGTAATTTCTCACACTGATATTATAGTATACATGGATTTATTTCTTCCAGCTTATTTGTTGCTAATTCCTGCTTTTTGGTGCTTCTTATTTCTCTGTTTTCCTGTCTTCTGGAGTTTATTTCTTTTCTCCCCCATACCACCACTGTTTTAACATTTATAGTCTCTATTTTCTTACAAATACCCTTAAATTTTTAACATGCATCACGCATACTTGACTTTCCAGATTCAACAATTCATGTATACCTTTCCCCCAGGAAGATACAAAGGTCTTAGTTCTTTAATTCCAAAAGCTCTCTCTATCACAGTAGGTTATTCCCTTACATGTTTTTTATTTTGGTTCATGAAATGAATTATTAAGATTGGGAGTGAATTCTAGGTGGCTTCCTTTGATTTATATGAGAGGTTTTGTATTTTATGTTTATATTTTTGTTAATTTGATAATTAGGTGTTCTTGAACCATTTGGTATGATAAATGTAAATCTCAAATGCATGTTGTAAATTCTTAGTGAGGGGAACCTTTCCCAGGAATAGAAGGCAGGCCAAACTAAAGTAAATTATAGAGGACCTCAAACAAATAAACAAATCTCTATGATTCTCCCAGTTGTAACATCTAGACTTTTTTCTAGTGTGAACCTATTTGCTAAGTCTGTAGTTCCACAGAGGTTCTGATTTTATATGGGAATCTCAGTTTCGCCTTTCCACCTTGAAAAGGCCACACTTTATTTCTAGCCCTTTTATGCATGTTAACATTCCAGTCCGTATGCAGCTCCAGAAACTAGCTTAAGTTAGTGAGTTACCTAATGCTGGAGAAGTTCAAGAATCTTTGAAAGTGGTATAGGGATTCCTTAAGACTCTTTTAACTTTTAAGATGGTCAAAAACTGCATAAATATTATCTAACGCTGTATCACTTGTGCTCTTTCTATGAGATAATTATCTAATGAGCATCGTGTGTAAAATGTGTAGAGACCATACTCAATGTTTGATGACACAACATGCTAACTGATACAGTTACAGAACAAACATATAAAAGGCAAAATGAGAAAGTATTGCATGACCAAAGTAACTGTAACACAGGAAAGATTCATATATTTTCCTTGGAGATTAAACAAATACTCTCCAATCATGGACCAATGAATGACCATGTTCCTTCAGAGATGGTGATAAATATAGATGTTCTGTTCCTATCACTAATGACTCAATAAATAAAATCCCCAGACACTTTTCAAAAGTACAGTGTGATATCCAGAATGTTATAGGCAGCTGTGCCTCCTAGTGATGTGTGGAAAATTTGATAAAATGCCTCAAATGTTCTGAAGATAAAAAGTGCCATGCACCATAAATGATGAGTGATGGTCATAATTGCAGAGAATGGCCACAGGAAGAGACACTGTTATTACCTAGAAAAAGTTGTTACCTCTTTCCACACAGTAACATTGCTATTTCTTTATAAAGGACTTGAAAAAACCTCATATAAATCTGGTTTTCATAAAGCTGGAAGTGGTCTAGACTCAATACACCGTCCAGAGAGAATTTAGTCTACTCTCTGCCTCTCTGAAATGAATTGAAGGGTACTTTCTGGGTAAGTCAAGTCAGGAGAATGTCCTGTATCCTCACATGGGTGTTATGTTATCAGGTTAGACAACTTCACATTGTCCTTTGTTCTCCAGATTCACCTGTACTGGTGAACTACTTTCATGGAAGAACGACAGAGGCACATAATAAAATAATAATAATAAATAAATAATAGAATAACTAAAAAATTCTGAATGACATTTTAATTCTATATTTGCCAGCACATTTCACTGGTTAAAGGACCATTTATTTTGTTCAAGTGAAGTCTGAAGGCTTCCAAAAGTAGAAGTTAATTTGGTTGATCCAGCAATGAATTATGCCAATGTATGTAAATGCCTTTATGTTCTGCTTAATAATGTATGCAGTTGGCCATATAGGGTGACTCATTGGGCTTTTAAAATTCAGGATGGAATGCATTAGTAAAATTACTGTGAGCAATGATTCAACTTGCACAGCTGGATCACCTTCAAAAATGCTGTTCTTGGGTACTTTTTCTCCAGTAGGAGGTTGTTGTGACCTAGTGTTTAACCTAACTCCCTTCTCTTTGGGTTTGGAGACATATGGCAATATTCATTTCCCTTGGAAAGACCCCCTCTATGGGGGGCGAGGGGGCGGGTAGGGAGTGGATCAGAGAAAATGGTGCAGGTGTTCACAGCTAAAGGTATCAATGCCTAATTAGCTTTACAAATCCAGAAGAGAGGAAGAATTCCATTAAAAATAAATTTCACATAATAAAGTGTGATCCACAAACTTAGCAAATCTGCAATGAATATGAAAATTGAATATATTCCTAGCACTTTGATCACAGATCTTCAGCACACAGGAACAGGTGTTCCATAAAAATAAAAGTTCTAGCTCTTAATTTAAATGAGCTTCTCACTCTTACTGCTCACTGATTCACTTAGGTTTACTGCTCCAGTGAGTAATATTTCAAGAAGACACAAACATCTACTTTCTTTAAAGCCTTTTTTTTTTTGAATGCATCTCAGTCAGGAAGCATTGTTAGGTCAAATGGCCACATTTAGGATCCATTCAGAGTTTCTAAAGTGAGAAGGATGAACTATTTTAGAGGTATCTATTGAAGGCTATGTTATTTTTCAGCTACCTCATCTCAAAATGGTTCCACATGTTATAAAGTCCAGAGTAAAGAAAATGAAGTATGTTCATTCCAACTTCACGTCCAGAAGATACTAAGTAATGTTTTCAAGTTTTAAGTTTCTATTTTCTGGGAAACTTGTACAGAGAAGCATTTCAATATTATGTGTGATCATCAGTTCAGTTCAGTTCAGTTCAGTCACTCAGTCGCGTCCGACTCTTTGTGACCCCATGAATTGCAGCACTCCAGGCCTCCCTGTCCATTACCAACTCCTGGAGTTTATGCAAACTCATGGTCAAATAATAACATGGCATTTACTATGTGTTCATAAAAACAAACTTTACTGAACCTTCTGGTTCACAAAATTTCCCTAATTCTCCATCTTTAAGACAAAAGTTACTAAGAGCTTGATGCAAATGAAGAAAATGTTTCCTTACACATTGAATTTTGGCCACATCTC